AGCGTGTCAAGCGCCAACCACGTTTTTTCGTCTGGAAGCTCCTTGTGAAGAACACGGATGACCATTAAAATGAAGGCGATGAGTAAGTAATACTAGTAAACCGCGTATCAGGACTTACACGTTGTGAAAGTCGATAATTGAGGTTGATAGCTCGTAACCATCCTGTATGTGAAGGGCATCCATGGTTGTCACCTTCGCTCTCTGGCCGTGATGATTTTTTAACTCATGAGTTGGGAAATGGTTACTCTTAACAAACCTAGGAAGCTTATCGGTCACGCTGTCAGGAACTTTGACACCCTTCGCGACCCTTGATATTATGTCGTCGGGCTCCGACAGCACATCTACGCCTTCTAATATAATTGGGACCTTAAATTCTGGGCTCGGAGCCGGCACAATATCGCTCGTATCCTGCTTGCCCCTGGTTGATCGTTTCCCTCGCGTAACGGCGGTCTGATTACTTACGGCTTTTTGGCCCTTGAGGCATGTAGAATGCATAGGAGGCGTCATCGTGAGCTAACATAATGAGCAATACGTTAACTTTATGAACTGCGGCTGGTTTGGAAAAGGCGGAGAGGAGGATGTTATGCTAATTGACAAGGTGAGGTGAAAATGAGAGAACAAATGAGTCGCTACTCAATGATGTCAAAACCCTTGGTCCACGAGAGACCCACGGAGGAAATGGAGACTGCGTGCTCACGAGACGTTGACGGGGGAGAAGTCGACGTGAAGAAAGGACGATGAAATGACATAACCGTTGCGCGCGTGTCACGCTCTTATTGACTGGAACCCTGACATTGAGGGGTGTCGAATGAAACTACAACAAACTTGTGGAAACATGAACAGCTGTGTTTTATAGAGCACCAATAAAGACTAAGTCGTAATGAGTGTGTGCAACATTCACGAGAAGTTTGGGCCTGCCCCGAAAACCAAGAAAGTGTACAGAATTCGGTGTTGGAGGCGAAAACTGACCGCGGGAATCGGGCGCGATCGCGTAGCAGGAGGGCTGTAAAAACCACTGCCTGTTGGAATTGAAGCCGAGAAAGCACCGCGGTTCGTCATTCCCTCTTGCTTTCCTCACACCACCTTGGAGTTCCCCTGCGAGCACCGCGCGCACTCGTCCTTTCCCACCCAACTACCACCCCATACACCACTCCACTTCTCCCCTTGGGTTATTTCCGCGTATTCCACCTCTATCTCTCAAACCGCATTCTAACGCAACAAAATGTTTGGAAACGTGCGTCACCCTACCTCGCCGATTTTTTCCTCTGTGTTTGTTCATGACCTTTCCAGAAGCCATACCATGAGGTTCCCAGAAGGCACATTCATGGATGAGAGCAGCATGGAACGATAGTTGGTCATTTTGTTTTGTAATCTTGTAAAACGCGTGCCTTGTGTTTCACGCGTTTCGCTAATTGCCAATTGTGCTAAGAGCTGGCAGGAAACGCAGGCGCTTCCGACTTCGCTTTGTCCATAACGCATCATCCCCGTCCTTATCCATTGTAATCCATGTCTATCAGCTAGCAGTCAGGTTGCTGTTGGTGGAGCTCTTCACTGCGTCGTTTTGCGGCATCCGTTCTCGAGACTACCTTGTTAATTACCACTTAAACCGTAGTTTCGCATCCTCCCGACACACCTGTCCCCTCATCGCCGCGTCGTCTCGTTTCATCCCTCCCGCGTTGACTCGCCGTTCGAGGCGCCTCGAAACGTGTCGTCGGTCCCGGCTGCCTCCTTCCTCTTCCTCTTCCTCTTCCTCTTCCTCGTCCTCTTCCTCTTCGTTTCGTCGTCGTCATCGCAGCGCAGCGTGCAGCACACGGGGGTCGCCTTTGAGAATTCTCGAGTGCCACGTCGCCATGATGTCCTCGTCGCAGCTGCGACTCATGTCGGACCTCAAGGCCATCCAACAGGAACCTCCCGAGGTACCGAAAAGTCCCATTTTTTTTGTTGCTTTTAGTTGTTCAACAACTCTTCGCCTCAGTTCCCTCGCCTGGATGTTCTCCCGTGGGCCGTTCTTGGCACGCCCGTCACATTCCAGGTTCGCGATGTCGTGTGCGTTGCCTGACGGACCCTCGTGTTGGCGTGTGTATGCCACATGCTGCATGATGCGTGGTGCATGGGGCTTGGTGCATGGTGCGTGCATGGTGCGTGCGTGGTGTATGTGGTGGTCGGTCGGTGCGTACTGTTGAGCAGGGATGCAGCGCGAGTCCGCAGAGCGATGAGAATCTCTTCGTGTGGAGCGCCACCATCTTCGGCCCGGATGAGTCACCCTGGGAAGGTAACTCATACCCCACCGCACGCTCGCACGACGCGCAAGGGATTCAAGAGATGCAGGTAGCAGGCTTCGTGCCGGCAAGGTTACTGATTGATAATGTTAAAAAAGTGGAGTACGATGCGTTTTGTTACTCTGAGCCATGCAGGCAATGCAGAAACTGCTTCCGTGGATTAAGGCTTAAGGGAACGTGAGGGGTAGGGCTGAAGCGGGATCATCAAGAGCAATAAGCACGCGCGACAGGCAAATAGGAGCGGTTGGAGTTGGCAAATAAGGAAAAAAAAAAAGGTTCAAAAGTTCATTTGTTTTACTTTCGTCGAGCCCAGCCAGATTAAGTTCTGAAGACTATTGGTTGCCAGGGTTTTCCAGCGTGTGTAATCCTTGGGTCTAGCCGTATACCTCAGGTGGCCCCCTCCCCCCGTTTCCTCCCCCCTTCCTACCCTACTCCCGCCGCTATTCCCCCTTCCCTTCCCCTCGCCTCTCTCCCCCTCCTCTCCCCGGCCCCCCCAACTCTCGACCTCCCGACTTCCAATCTTCCTTTTTCCCCCTCGCAGGCGGAATTTTCTCCCTGCGCCTGATATTTAGTGAGCAATACCCGGAGAAGCCACCGCGTGTGCGCTTCACGTCTGAGGTCTTCCACCCCAATGGTCAGTCCCAGCCCTCCAGCCCTCCCCTCTCCTCTCCCTCTCCTCTCCCTCTCCTCTCCCTCTCCTCTCCCTCTCCTCTCCCTCTTTCTCTCCCTTTACCCCCTCTGCGTCTCCCCCGTTTCGCCGGTACATTCCTCAACGTGCTGCTGTTCTGTTCTTCATGGGCCCGTATGTGCCACCAGCCGCAGCTCCTCGGCAACGCTCATTTCCGCGCGCACATCTTACCTTGCTCTCTGCTCGAGCCGTGACCGTGCCTGGTCTCGTTGTTCTCGTCTGCTAGTGTTTGTGTGTGTGTCTCTCTCTCTCTTCCATATGTTGGTGCATTGCGCGAGACTGATGTGCCTGCCTGCTCCCTGCTCCGTCTGTAACTCTTCCCCGCGCTCATCCATGCATGATGCGCCATGCAGTGTACAACGACGGCACACTGTGCATGGACATCATCCAGGACGCGTGGTCGCCGTGCCACAACATCTGCACCATTCTCACCTCCATTCAGGTAGCTCATGCATGCATCGTGGAGGGGTGGTTGTACCCATACGACGGGGAGGGGTGGGGGGGGTGGGGGTGCCAGGAAGTGTGGAGTGTGATGATGAGAGTGTATGGACGGGAGGGGGGGCGTCAGCGTTTTGAAAGGATTGTGAGCGTGGGAAGGGGTATAGTGCCTGAAAAGTCTTGTTTGTGCTGCTGCTGCACGTTATTTTGAAACATACATCTTAGGTATCCGATTTCCCCTTCCCTGGATCCCATTTCCTTCCCCATGTCCCATTCCCTTCCCCTTCCCCTACCCTCCGCCTCCTTCCTGCATGATTCGATTCTGCTTGTATTTTCAGCTACTATGCAGCAGTTCTCTTGCTTCCTGCTGTGCTTGATCTCTTATTTCTGTGTGCTTCTTCCTTACCACATGTTCCCATTTTCCCTTCTCTTTTTGTCACTATGCACTCCACTACAGTCACTTTTGACTGACCCCAACCCTTCCAGTCCAGCCAATCCCGAAGCAGCACAACTGCTATCCTCCGACCTTGCTGCTTACAACAGGTGCTGTGCTATGTGCCATTCTCACACAATTTTCAGACTTTGTACCCCTGCATTCTCCTCTTTCATCCCTTCTTGCTGCACATCACTCAACTCTTCCCATCCCTCACCCCCACCAACCCCTCCCCCTCCCCTCTCCTCCCCTCCCCTTCCCTTCGCCTTTCCTTCCCCCTCCTCTCCCCCTCACTGCCCCTTGAATGTGTTTACTTCTTCCTCCTCTCTCCTCTCCCATTCCTTACTGCCACCCTACAATTTCTATCACAATGTTGAAGTAAAACTGTTCTCTCTGTGCCCCACCCCGTGTGACTGTTTTAACAGGAGAGTGCGTCAATGCGTGCGGAAATCGCTAGACAACATTCAATGATTGTTCACTTGCCACTGGCACTGTGCTTCCTCCGCCTCCTCCTCATCCACACATTGTTCATATGCCATTCCATGTGCTCCTCTCTCTCCCCCTCCCCCTCTCTTCCCCTCTCCCTCTCCCACTTTTTCTGGGTCCTTGCACTACGCTATCCCTCTCCCTAAACCCTTCTCGCACCCCCCCCCCCCCCCCGCTCCTCCCTTTTTCTCGCTCCCCTCTCTCTCGCTCTCTCGCTCTCTCACTCTACTATCTGCTCAACGCATCTGTTGCCCACACCGCCCGCACGAGCTGCTGTCAAGGCACTGAAAAACACCTTGTGCGCAGATGAACCTATGAACGGGACTGGCGCAGCACCCCGCAGGTCGTTCTGGTTACTTGTGAAATTCAGCCGGAGATGCAAACCTTTACTGTTGCAGCAGTAGTTCTGTTGTAGGACTAGAGCACCACCTTAGGAGGAGGTTGTTAGGTTTCAGTGTGTCACTGAGTTCTTCTGTTTTGAATCAAACCAGCCATTCTCTGGCATTTCCATGTTCTTAATCAGGAGTCTTGGAAATCAGTGTTTAAACCCCAAAATGGTGGAGGGAAGTACTTATTGTTGTGAAAAGGTGTACACACCTACATGCAATGTCCAGCCAACAAACCAACCAATCCATCATACGATTCTTATGAAAGTGAACCAAAACGAGGACAAACATCACAAGCAGATGCTGGCAATGTCAGCATCATTCAGCTCGCCCCAGAGCTCCACCACACTCTCCATGCAGTCATCTAACTCCCCTACTCCATCCATCCCCACCACCCCATCCTCCTCACCATTCACACCATTCACACCGTTCACACCGTTCACACCATCCTCACTATCCACCACACCATCCGCCATGTTGGGCTGAGGACACACCACACTATCCAACTCTTTCACACCCACCTCTCTTTGCTTCTCCCTCCTACCGTTCCACACTCCCTTCTGTTCACTCGCACAAACAACATCCTCCCCTTCGCCCATGCCTGGCACAGCCATCCCCACCATTTCCCCCACCATCCACCCCTCATTACGGAACCACTCAGCAGCATCCCAACTGAGGCTCTCTGGCAAACCCCTCTCAGGCCCGCACGCAACTCGACCCTTGCGGTCACAGCGGTAATAGTCTCTCTCTCGCTCAACCTCTCTCTCTCCCTCTCGCCCACCCTCTAGCTCACCCTCTCGGTGCTGCACACTCGCTTCTCCGTCCTGGATTGATGCCTTACCCTTGCCCTCATCTTCAGCTGCTGCAGCGTTAGGCTTGCTTCCTCCTCCTCCCTCGCAGATTTCTTGGCGGATAACTCCACCAGAGCAGCCCTCCCCAGCCCTTGCGCAGCCACTCCTCAGTTCCTCCTCCTCCTCACGTGTTGCCGCCGTTTCGCTTGTACCACCTGCCTCGCCGACGGTTCCTGCACACCTGGTCCCTTCACTGTCCTCCTCTTCTCTCCCTATCTGCTCCACCTGCTCCCCCCCCCTCATCTGCACTCCCCCTAATGCACCACTGACCGTTCCACCCGCCCCATCAGACCCAGTCTCACTGAGACCCCCGTTTGTGGCTCCGTATCTCACAGAGACAGGTGCCTCGACGCCTGCTTGCATGCCTACTTGTTTCAAGTTAGCTCCACCTGTCGTTCCTCCACCCGCAACCACCGCAGGAGCTGCCACTTCCTGTGTCGCTACACACCCTCCCGGGCCCACTACTAAGCCCGTCCCTTCACCACCTGCACCTGCTGCCACCCCAGCACTGTTGCTGCTGCTCCTGCTACTGCCCTTCCCGTTGCTGCTGACACCACTGCACTTGTCACCGAGCACAAGCCCCTGCTGCTGCAGCTGCTGTGGCTGCTGTGGCTGCTGCTGCTGCAGCTGCTGTGGCTGCTGTGGCTGCGGCTGCTGCGGCTGTGGCTGCTGTTGCAGCTGCTGCGTCCCATCCACCTGCTGCTCCCTTATTGGCGGCTTCCCCCGCTGCTGCCTCCTTGGCCGTTGCTGAACCATGGCTTTGCTGCTGCGGCCTACAGGTGCTGCTGCTGCTGCTGCTGCTGCTGCTGCCACACCCCACCGCACTGGCAGGGCAGGGAGCGGAGCAGAGGGAATGAGGCGCACACCAGGAGAGATGGGGTGAAGGCCCATAGGCATGGGTTTGAGAGCAGGGATGGTGTAGGCACGGGCAGAGGGCAGTGGCAGCGTGGCGGCTGCAGTGCGAAGGGGCATTGGGAGGAACGCCGTGAAAGGGACAGCTTTCGCAGCTGCTTGGTTGCTGCTGCTGTGCGCTGCGTGAGTGTGGGCTAGAGCAGGGGAAGCTGGAGCATGGGGAGGAGGAATGGGGGATGGATTGTGGTCAGGCTTGTGGGCCGGAACGGGAGTCTGGTGCGTGATGCTCTGTGCATTGTGTGCAGCAGAGGTGTTAGTTTGGCTTAAAGAGAGAGGAGTTACAGGGAGAGGGGTCACAGTACGGGTGGCAGAGATGGGAGGACTAGGGCTGTGAGGAATGGTGGGGATCAGGGGTCTAGGAGGTATGACAGGGATGACAGGGGTTGCAGGAAAGGGGACAGGAACGCTGGGGGGGAAAAGCGGGTCTTGAGTAGGAGCAGTGGGAAGGTGACTGATGCTGGTCAGGGTAGTGGGTGGAGAACACATGGTGCTGAGTACGCCTTGTGTTGCTGGTTGAAGAGAGAAGCAGTTCTGCAGCGGTTGCTTCTGCAGCTGCTGTTGCTGCTGCTGGTGATGATGATGCTGCTGTTGCTGCTGCTGCTGCTGCTGCTGCTCCAGCTGCTGCTGCCGTTGCTGTTGCTGTTGTTGCTGTATCTGTAGCTGTCGCTGCTGGTTCTTCTCCTGCTCTCGTAGCTTCTCTTTCTGAAGCTGCTGTTCCTGCAGTTGCAGCTGTGTCTGATGCTGTTGCAGCAGCAGCCACTGCTGTAGCGGCATCTCCTGGGTCTGACCCTTCTGCTTCTGAGAAACACTGTCTCGTACCCCTGTTCTTGCTGCCGAGCCTGCTGCTTCTGCCGACCCTGATGCTACTGCCGAACCTGCTATTGCTGCCGACACTGCTTCTTCAGGCGATGAGCCTCCTGCAGCTGCTGGAAAGCCTGTGTCAGGCTTCTGGAATTGCTGAGTGGGGCTGGAAGCATTGTTTTGTGGGAGCATGGGTGTTTTCACCCGCTGGTCGTCCACGGGACTGTATATCTCGCCATCCACTGCTTTTTGAGTGCCCATGTGCTGTGCCGTGAGTGGGTTCATGCGTGCATGCATGCCCGTATTGATGTCCGGATGCATGTGCCATGGCATGTCCGAGTGCATGTGCGGGTGCATGCGCTGTTGTGTGTGTGCATGTTTTAGCGCGAGTGTCAATGCCCGCTGCTGAGCATCGTCGACACCAGGCCCTTGCACGTGCAAGTGCTGTGCGCTAGAGGAGCTTGAGCCTGCACTCCCCCCCACAGCAGCAGCAGCAGGAGCAGTGCAGCAACTAGGGACGCTACATGCAGCCAAAGCACAAATTGGGCTGGAGGCTGTGAGAGGAGGAACGAGAACAGGGTGGGAAGCAGCAGCGCCAGCACCAGCAGCAGCACCAGCAGCAGCGCCAGCACCAGCAGCAGCGCCAGCAGCAGCGCCAGCACCAGCAGCAGCAGCGCCAGCACCGGCAGCAGCAGCAGCACCAGCAGCAGCACTGGTACTAGCGTCAGCAGCAATGAGCAGAGCAGTGGGCAGAGCGGCATGGGAGGCAGGCAGTGGAGCCGACGCCGAGCGGGAGAAGGCGGACGTGGTGCTCTGACCCCGGTGGCCATCCTCACTGCCCTCAGCCCTGCACCCGTCCGCGCCCAAACGGTTGCCGTCCGCGCCCAAACGGCCGCCGTCCACGCCCAAACGGTTGCCGTCCACTCCCATAATGGAGAGGATGGTGGCTGCCCTGAGCCCCGCAGGAGGCATTCCCGGACTCCCTGGTACTTGCGCCTTGTGCGGACTGCCCATGCTGCATGATGCTGCTGCTGCTGCTGCTGCTGCTGCTGCTGCTGCTGCTGCCGCCGCCGCTGCTGCTGCTCCTGCTGCTGCTGCTGCTGCTGCTGCTGCTGCTGCTGCTGCTGCTGCTGCTGCTGCTGCTGCTGCTGCTGCTGCTGCTGCTGCTGCTGCTGCTGCTGCTGCTGCTGGTATTAGCGGGGAGGGCTGTGCAGGGGACGGTAGCGGGGCGAGGGGATATGCTGGTAGCGCGGGGGAATAAGGGGAGGAGAAGGCGGAGGGGGGAGCGGAGAGTTTCGCCTGGAAGGCTTGGCTGTGGAGAGGTGATAGGCCGAGGTGGGGCGCTGGGGGTGGTGTGGCCGAGCAGGAGGGTGTGAGTGGGGGAGAGGCGAGAATGTGGGGAGAGGAGGAGAGGACGCGAGGAGAAGAGAGAACGTGGGGGGACGAGCAGGTTGAAGCGGGGAGGTGCGGAGGGGGGTGTGGGGCGAGAGGAGGGGAGCGGAACAAGGTGGGCGCAACGAGGAGGGTGTGGGTGCTGCTGCTGTGGCTGGCGGTGGGAGTGGCGGCAACAGCGGGGGAGGATGGGTTATAACAAGTGAAGGGTGTCGATGAGGTTGACGGAGTGGAAGGGAGGGAAGGAGTGGAAGGAAGGGAAGGTAGGATAGGAGTCCAAGGGTTTGAGCCGAAGGGATTGATACAGCTGCTGCCGTTGCTGCTATAAGTCTCCATGCCTCCGCTCCTGGCGCTGATAGTGCCCATCGCACTAATAGCGCCCGTAGCGCTCATGGCGCTCATTCCGCTCATTGCGCTCGTACTTATGGCGCTTATGGCGGGGATGAGGGGCGTGGGAGTGCGAGGAACGCTGGCGTAGTGATGGGAGGAGCACGGGTTGGGAACGCAAGGGAGGACGTTGCAGGTACCGCCACCTTGCTTCTCGCCTACGCTGACCGCGAAACAGTGCTGGCTGCTGCTGCCGCCGCCACCATTGCTCCCGTTGCTGCATTCGCCACCACCACTGCAACTGCCACCAGCGACATGAGCATAAGCATGCGCAGGAACAGCAGCAGCGGCGGCGGCGGCGGCAGCAGCAGCGCCGCCTGTTGCGCCGGCTTCTCTCTTGCTCGCAGCTGCATCGCGCAGGGCCGGCAGGCCGGCAGGGCTCGCCATGGATCTCGCGTCGCCGCCTAGTAGGCGCGCCCCCATCGCCATGCATTTCGGGGAGCTTTCGAACGAACCATGCATAGTAGCCACGGGTGCCAACCACGGTGCTACCGCGGACGGCGCTGCTTCCGCAAACGCCGCTGCTCCCCCTGCGCCCGCGAACGCCTCTGGTCCCGCTGTTCCCGCGAACGCCGCTGCTCCCGCTGCTCCCCCGTACAACGATGCTACCGCGCACGGCGCTGCTCCCGCTGTTCCCCCGAACGGCGCTGCTCCCACTGCTCTCCCGAACGGCGCTGCTACCGCTGTTCCTCCGAACGGCGCTGCCACTCTGAACGGCGCCGGCGCTGCTCTGTCGCTCTCCGGAAGCTGCGCGTCCCCCGTGCAGGCGGCTTTCCCCTTGAAATCCGCGCGGATCGCTCCGCGCTCGCCGTTCCGGGAGGTCGGGGGGAGCGGGCACGATCGCTTCTGCTGGGGGAACCTGCCAAGGGCGGGAAGGAGGGACGGGTATGCGTGCGAGAGCGAGAGAGATAACGAGAGAGCGGGGGGAAAGCGGGGGGAACGGGGGGGAAGGAAGGCGGGGGGTTGGGGGAGATAGGGGGGGGTGGTTGAGCTTTCAGGTTTTGATAACGACGCCTCTTAGCTCTTCATCCACCCCTTCCTCAGCAACCAATCACACTCACCCTCCATCTACCGCCAATTGCGGAGCGATCTCCGCGGGGCCGCCTGTTCCGGCCGCCAAGTAGGCAGGCGGAAGTGCGCGCTTCTCGCCCGCGACGAGCCCGGCTGACTCGACGCGCGCAACGACGAGTAAGTCGTGGTCTCCGTGCCGCGCAAGGGCCGACGGGCTGTGATGATAACGGCTATGATGATAACTCCCCACTTGAACTGGCGTCCCCTGTTGTTGTTCCGCCTGTTGACGTTGCGATTGCTGTTGTTGAGGCTGCTGCTGCTGCGGAGGGCTCTGCGCCGGTCTGTCCGACAACGGCGGCGGCGACTGCGGCACAGTCGCACAATGCGCGTGCATGGACGGGATGGAGTGCGACTCCGGCGCCGACAGGTACGGCGAGCGCGGCACGAGCTGCGACAGTTCGGGCGACGAGGACGCGGACGACGGCCGCGACGGCTGCGACGTCGGCGAAGGCTGCGACGCGTGCAGCGACGGAACGGAGGTGAAAGATAAAGGCCGAGGGAGCGCAGAAATGGACGAGATAGCGGCGGGGGTCGGGACCGCCGTAGACGGGACGGCGCCGTCATGGCCGCCGCAATGGCCGCCGCTATGTCCGCCGTTACTCCCGCCATCGCTGTGGATTAGCGCCGCAGGCGTCGCCGCGAGAGATGCCGACAAAATTGGTGAGGACGGCAGGGGCAGTGGCGGGAGCGAAGGGGTGAGTGAGGGGACGGCAGGCGGCGGGAAGAACGGCGTGTGCGCGTCCCACTGGCAGTGGCGCGTTTCGAGGGCGCGCTTGCAGAGGCTCTGGTGCAGCGACGGGGGGAGCGGGCGCATAACGGCTGATGCGGGACGCGCGCAGGCATTGATGGGCGCGGGGGCGGAGGGGATGGTGGGGATGTGGGGTATGGGTGGGGGGAATTGTTGGGAGAACTTCAAGATCGTTGATAGGTTATCGGTTAGCGACAGTGATGCCTGTATGGGCGCTACAACCGGGGGCGCTACTACAGCTGGGGGCACCACAAGTGGGGGCGCGACAAGTGGGGGCGCAACAAGTGGGGGCGCTACTACTGGGGGCGGTACTGCTGGCAGTGCCAACTCGCGGCTCGCGGCGGGTGTCGAGAGTGCTGACGGTGGCAGCTGCGCGGCTTGTGGCGCAATTGCTTGAGACACAATGTACGGCGATTGTCTTGAATGTTGCGAATAATGCGGCGAGTGATGTGGCGGATATGGCGAACGCGGGACTGCTGGTGGTAACCCGGACAGATTAAAGTAGGGAGCGGGGTGTAAGGAAGTGGGCGGCTGCTCGGGAAGGCCGGTGCGACTGACAGTGGCGGCCATGGTTGCTTGAACTCTAAGCATTCGGTATCGGAGGAAGGATTAGTAGCTGCGTTTAGTAGCTTCGCTGTCACTTGTAAGGTTCTACAGAATATCCAGAGATATTGATGAGGAGGATATCCAATTATTGGAACTGGGGAGCAGGGCGAGGGGGAAGGGGGGTTGGGAGGGGGCGGTACGGAGTTGGTCTTTTACGTCACTGCCTTGCGTCAAAGACTGGGGGAGTGCTTACATGGGTGAGAGTATCTTACGAAAAAGGTGCGCCTGATACTAAACCCAGGGGTCCTGAGGAAACACAGTTGGCAGCCAGAGGCAAATCGATGCGATCCGAGTGCGCCACTGAATAGAACCTACAGAGGACTGGATGCAGGAAATTGACAAGCACAGAGTCAAGCGATTTGGGAAATAAAAAATGCGTTTGCAATCAGCGTGTCGGAGTCCAGTTCAAGGAGGGCGAATGTGCTGGTCACAGTTGGTGTTTGGAGTAGATGGCTGATGGTGCCATCAACAAGCATGCCGTGTGAAGGATGGTAAGGGATGGGATGGGAGAGAAGTGAGTCGGAGCGATAACTGGCCAGTGAGGAAGAGCGGAGAATCTGAACGAGCCACCCCAGCGTTTCGATCCATTTAGTTGGGTCGGTTCCAACGACGCGATCTATGATATTTTCGTGCAGATATTTTACCCACAGATACAGTACGGCACTTTTGGCGAATCTGGCTTGCCTTGCATGATCCAGGTCTCCCATTGAAAACAGTCTCATTGTGGTTGCCCTTCAAATGCAGTTTTTCTTCAGAGGGAATCCAAACTTTTCTGGGCTTGTTAACTCCAATCCGGCCATCATCACTCGCCATAACATCTTGAGCGTGGTATCAACTTGCACTCGTTTTCCATATCTCCTCTTACTCCGTACTTAGCATTCATCAACAAATTCATAACGAGTCTCCCACGCACCCAAGACATCAGTAATTTCTTATACGACATTACCTAAGTAGTCGAGATCTCTGAGGCATCCTCCGAGCACTGAAAACGAATGCACTGCTTGAAGACAGCCCCGCAAATCTACTCCATCACGCATAAATTCGCTACTAGCTCCATCAAGTGTCCTGCAATGCAGGGCTGTAAAAACACACACTACTTGACAACAAAGCTGTAACTATCCTGTTTTGAGCGGTATGTTTTTGCCCACCAACCCGACCCTTCAGAGTGGGGAACCCTACTTGCACCCACACACACTTGCCTGCCTTGGCTGGTCCTCCGCACCACATCTCACAAGAAGTTGGAGGACCCAAGGGACGTGGGTCCCGGAATTGTGATTCACAACAAGTTTGGGCAGTTGGTTTCGGAGTGGGGTGTATTCAACTTGAGAGATCTCTGTACAGGTGTCATGTAACACCGGTTCGTGTAACTCGACTGCAGCGGAGAAGTCGGCTGCATCGTCACCGTCATTTTGACGGCTGTACGACGGTTCGTGATTCTATTGGAAGTTTTCGTCCACACGATGTCTGCGAACGCGAAATGCGACATTGCAAGTTGTAATTGAGAAACAACATAGTCGTCTGTTGTGCTCTGCGACCATGTGGACAGCCCTTCGCTGGGGCGCCTAAAATGCAAGTCCTCACAGATACCAGGTAGCATTCGAGTTTGTATCAACCTTTCGAGTACGGGATGATGTTCAAATTGTGACAACTCCGTCGCCTCTGGTCCCATTCCTTCTGCCCCCACAGCTGGTAGGTGGCTTCTTCTGACAGACATCACCAGCCTTGGCCAGCTCTGCGGGAGTCAGGGTGATTGTTTCTTTTCCATCATTTTTTCCCCTAGAATGAGGATCTTGCATCGCCCTCCTACAACGAACTTCGACGATGACACCGCTCGACAGGAGTCTGGATTCACCCTACAACTACTGTCTAGGCAATTATGAAAATCCAGTCTTGTTAAAGCTCGCCTAAGTAGTCTTTGTTAAACATAATACGTGAAGTATACGAAGTAGTGTTGATAGGTTCCAAATCAATCAAGTGTTGGGAGCTTTGATTGGGAAAATATGCCACAAGTAACCAACTTGGAACTCGATAACGTGAATGGTAAAAAAAAACGCGTACGGTCACTGTATCGGGTTTTCTGACAGGTTTGGTAAGCGGGGTCACGGATTCAGTCACTAACAACAGGTAAAAAATCACGCGAATGGTCACACATGTAACTCCCGCCAAAAAAACTTGAAACTCAACAAAATTCCCGCTCGCGCCCAACCAATCTGCGAACTTGTAAAAAAACTAAAACCCAATCGGAATCGGATGCGGTTTGGGAACGGATCAACCCTAAACACCTGGCGAGTTACGTGTTTAGGGTTAATCATCCGAAAATGCATCCAGGTTCTTTCTGGGTTTCATTTTGTTTTGGCGGGAGTTTCATCTGTGACCATTCGCGTTTTTTTTTTTACCAGCTGATTGTGACTGATTCCGTGAAACGCTTTATCAGTCGCGTGAAAACACCCTTTGCAGTGACCGTACCCTTTATTTTTTTACCAAAAATGTTTTCGAGTCCCATGATGGTTACGAACGGCATATTTTCCCGCTTTGATTTGCCCAAATGTTGTGACCGACTGGATGGAACTTTGGAAGTGTTTCTCGCAAGAGCAACTGGAAGCAAATGCAATGCAACGCAAATACACACTCACACGCACATGACCCGTCACAAACAAATTCCCTTCTCCTCTTAGCCTTCGCCACTGGCACAAAACTAGGAAAGCTGCTTGCTTAGTTCGCAAAAGTCTACTTTTGAGTCGTAAAACAAAACTTACTGGGCTCACGAGAACGTCTTCCTAGTTCGGACAAAGAAAACCGAATCATCCTGCAATTTCCTTAGGCCGCACCGGACACCTTTGAGCTGGGTAGCAACTCTGATCTAGCAGGGGCCCCAAAACAATCGAGGACCCTGCAATAGCGGTCGCGATTCGCGAGTCAGCATCCAGCCCGAATTTCAAGGCTTTCTCCCTCGTTTCCATACACTACCGCAAGCTGACTGGAGATTCTACTACACCTAGTCCGCGGTATTTTAACCACGTGAACTGTTTTGTTTCAAACACCCTTTATTAGTTTTCGGGTAATGAGATGGGCACCCAAAGACTTCGAGGTTATTATTTTACAGCCAGATGCCTTTCCGTCTGAAGAAACGCACACTTAGTGGTCCGAGATAGGGGGCGTATCGGCATTGGCAGAGTTTGAATTGCCCTATCTCGCGAGAGGAATGCTAGATTCTACCCTCATTAATTTTCAAACTACTCGTTTAAACAAGTTTGACCAAGGAGAAGTACCCTCGCGCGGTTAAGATAGCGGCGGTTAAAATACCGCGGACTAGGTGTAGGATGGTTCCTCCAAGTACCTAGTAGGCTTGGAGTTCAAAGCATCTTGGAACTGTTATTCCACTAAGCATTTCGGGCAATACACTATTATGCAATTTGGGATCTCCGGAAACTACAATTTAGACCAATTGCACAAAAGCAAGGGAACAAGATCTGTACTGCATTGCATTGCACTGTACAGAAGACGGTGCAGTGGCAGGGTGTATCATCCGTCTACTCCCATCACAGTACATTACACCAGCAGGCTCCCCTATCAACCCTTGTACAACATGATGCCCCTTTCACTCCCCTTACCCATCTTTCAGTTTGCTCCTGTCTCGCACTCGCGTCAATCAGGAGCAAATTGGGCCTGTTAGTAGGAGTGTGGTTACAATTTGAGCTACAGTTCCAATTTTACGGGTAGCCTCGAGTGTTTTGCATAGGAAATTTGGCTAGCTTATTCGCGGTAAAAGATTTGGGGGCTTACTTGGGCGTGTAGGCTCTGGGCCGTTGGCTGTGAATGTTGACCGCTGCTCCTGTCGGTTGTCTGTGCGCGTGTTGAAAGTGGGCCGTTTCGCGGGCATCATGTGTAGCCTCTCCTTCCAAGCCAGCCAAGCCATTTCTTCCACCTCGATCCTGCCGTCTCCCCTACCAATCTCCCGCTTGCCCTTTCTCGAACCCCACGACCCTCACACGGACCCCCAAGATGCGCACTGCCTTGGTCCTCGCCCCAGCCAACTCTGTTGAATTGCGGTTTGCATCATCACTGTACAGGTGATGCTCACCTCCTGCACGCAAAATTGCCTTGCACATTTTAGATGCCCTGCCCGCGATGACAAGGTGCCCTAGAGGTTGCACCCCAGGTACAAGCCCCCCACACAACTTGCTACTAGGTTGGTAAACTCCAAAACACCCAAACTGCATCATAAAACAGACCCAGTCGACCAGGGTCTGCCGTGTTTCTTGGCCAGAGACAAACATCGCGAAATGACAGGCGGATGTCAGAATGTTATGTTTGTCTAGCCTGCAGTGGGGTACTCAATAGTGAGTACATCCCAATCTAGGGTTTACTATATGTACTCAACTGCTTGCTAGTGCAACCCCTCTTTCTCATTTCTAACTTTCATCTGATATTCCAACATGGAATCAGAGCAGGTCGACCCT